AAAAAAAAAAGAAAAAAGAAAGACAAACAGATTACGATACGATCGACTATAATCTTTCAAATTTTCAAAACTTTTACGATTTATCGAATCGATGACTTACCTGTCTGGCTGTTGATGTTTCGTAACAAAAGTATCGGAATCGCAAAGTGATTGATAAATACAAGCGCTCAAAGCCACCGCCAAATCTCTCATTATGAATACCTCGCAATAATGCGTGTTTCTCGCGGGCATTGGTGGGTTACGTAACTCCACCAATGTCTGCAACATATCGTGAGCAAGAGACTGAAAGAACAATTATTTCAATGTGAGAAAACACTCGTCTTACTACTTTACACGTTCTCGTTTAATTCGAAAGGTTATATATACGAAATAGGAATACCTGCAAGTGTCTAACCGGATCTGCAACGACAGTTTTGTTGCACGCTACACTCGCGCTTAAAAGTGGAAGCGTGGTTGGAAATGGAAGAGGGCTGAGCAACTGCTGCTGCGTCTTCTCCTGTTGCAGTTCTTGCAACAAGAGGACAAGTTCCATCCTCACGGATGCCAAACCACCACCGGATGCTCCGTGCAGAGAACAGTAGGATAGCAACGTTCGCAATAACGTCTCGTTCGCTGTAAATACCATTGTACATACATTGTACGCAACTATACGGATATTTAAACAGACATCTACCGATACAAGAAGGCGAGAAATTACCTTTCAACCACTTTTTCCTTCTAGCAGCTCGTTGAACCTTAGCTTCGAAATCTAATTTCTCGGCCATCAGTATTTCGTGTAACGTTGGTTGTTCGCCAGATTTACATGGTTGCACATCGTCTACCATACCACCTTCGTCTGAAAGTACGTCGTATCGTCGTATCATTTTGCGCGGCAGTTGGTAAAGTATGAATAATTGAAAGTAAATGGAATCGTTTCGAATTGAAAGTGGAATACAACACAAGTGGGTTCTTCGTTCGCTTACATTCCGACGCGTTGTTTGCATCTCCATCCGAGCTAACGCTATAGTTGCAAAGCTGTCTAAGAGCGTCTACTTCCCGCTCGAGCCATACATACAGCTGGTATCGAAGTTGACCTCCGTCTACTTCGAAACCCGTTGCCAAAGTCGATAACTCTTCCATTAGAATTTTTAAACATGCCACGAATTTCAATTGTTGTGCCATAATGTCCAATTGTCCTGGCAATTTATCGATTTTCTCTGGAA